CGGGTCTCCTAGGACTAGGTGTGGGGCAGGGCCGGGCGGCGCGGCCGGGCGGGAGGATCTGGTGGGCGGACTCGACCTGGGTCCTCTCCGCGGCGGTGCGCCCGGCGGTCCCGTTCTGCCGCTCGCCAACGCCTGTCCTGCGGGACGTGGGGTGAAGGGCCACCTCTTACCCAGAGTGGGACTTGTTTTACTGTGCTGGGCTTGAGCCCCGGACCTTGGCACTGAGCTACATCCCCGGCCCCTCTGATTTTATTAGGACAGTATCACTTCAAACTGCCCGGTGGGCTGGAACTTGGGACCCTCCTGCCTCAGCCTCCCAGAGTGCTGGGAGTACAGGCATGCCGAGGCTGTTTTCAACACTGTGCTGGAGCCCCTTTTCCTTAAACTGTCTGTAATAGACTTTAGAGTTCCACTTTCTCCTCTTACGAGCATTAATCAAAAACAGGGGTTCTTGGGCAGGGGTGAGGCTCAGTGCTAAAGGACTTGCCGGTAAATACCGAGTCCCCAGTACGTGGTGGGGGGAGGAGCCCGCAAAGTCTCGTCTTTTCCCAGAAAACTCTGCTCCGGGTAGGCGCTGGACTGTGGGGGTTTTGTCCGTGCATCGGGCTGCACTTTGCGGTCAGGGGAAAGCAGAAGGGGAGCCAGGTGGGCTCTTTGGGGTTGAGGCTGGCAGCCACTGCCTGCTGCTCCTCTGGCAGCAGATTCAGGGGGAAAGGCCCAGCGCATCCTCATCGCCCAGAGACCAGCAGGATGGTACTGCCAGTGGTACGGAGTCGTCAGGGGAGAAGTCTGGTCTCTGCCACACTTACTGCTTCTAATTTTAACAGTTATCGGTTTGTATTGTGCATAAAATGACTTCACCATAGCGACTGTCACACGCCCAGAGTCAGGTGAAGACCCAAGTTTGACATGGATGCAAATCGTTTGCTGCTGGGCTTTCACAGTGAGGACTGTTTAGTATGTGAGGGGCGCCTACATTAAAACTGCACCGTTAGTTAAATAAGGGGATCCTTTGTGATCCACCTGTCTCCAAAATCGGTAACTCCACATTATATGGTCTAGTAGGCTGAATATTGGCGCCAAAAATACGGGTTCTAATTCCTGCAATTTGTAAATGCTGTATTGGAAAAGGACTGCGTGTCAGATTAAGCCAAGGATCTTGAAATGGGGGAGATTATAAATTACCTGGGTGTGCCTTCAATAAAATGGGGTCCTAGGCGAGTGGCAGAGGGAGGGTTGTACAGATAGAAGTCAGTATGTCTTTTCTCATTGCTGGGACAAAATACCCGACCCCTCACAAGTTAAACGAGGAGAGGGTTGTTTTACCTCACAGTTTGTGGAGGTTTCAGTCCATAGTCAGCTGGCTCCAGGGCAGGGCAGCATGGCAAAGGAGAGACAGTCCATGGCAGGCAGGCAAGCAGGCAAGCAGGCAGGACGTTTATCTCATCCGGGCTAGAAGCCGATTAGATGGTACCACCCACACTCATCGTGGGCCTTCCTACTACCCATGCCTAGAACTATGCTAAACCAATCAGTGGGCTAATCCAGGTATCACCCCCCAAAAGCTCCAGCCAGCAGTGCTTGAGGCTTGCAGGGGAGGCATCTAGGACAAGCCGAGACGCGCTGTGCCCCAGAGCCTGCCACGCATGAAAGCATACTGGTGGCCACAGAGCTCAGGGAGGAACAATCTCCTCCTAGACCCTCAAGGGAGCAAAGCCCCGAGAATGTCTGATTTTAGGTCTGTGTGACTGATGTTTGGACTTCTGGCCTCCAGTACTATGAGAAAACAAATTGCTATTGTTTTAAACAAATAAGTTTGAGGTAATTTGTTATGGCAACTACAGAAATCTAATATATAAGTCAGTGCTCATAAATCACTTAGAATGCTGTATGGATGAACACTTAAAAACTCTACAGTAATAGTGGAGAACACTGCATATTTTCATGAATCCCAAGGAAGGGATTTAAATAGGGAATTTGAAAAGAAGAGAAAAGAAATCAGGTAGTGCATAGAAAAGAGGTAGACTGGCATTTAAGCCAATTTTTAGAGTTTCTTCTGCTTTCCTGTTAATATATCACCATGTCTATTCTGGCTAACAGGAGTAAAAGTAAAGAAGGACAGCACCTGGCAAGGTGGCACATGTCTGTAGTCTCAGCTGCCCAGGAGGCTGAGGCAGGAAGATCACAACTTCAAGACCAGTTTGAGCAACATAGTGAGACCCTGTCTCTGAAAAATAAAAAGGGTTGGGGACGTAGCTCAGTAGTGGAGTGCCTTTGTGTTCAAGTAGCTACCAAAAAAGTGACTTAGCCTTGGTCCTTAGCCAAGTCACTGGATAGCCTCCGGGTGCTTATCTAATAAGACTGGAGATACCTAGGGATTGAGGCCTAGGCCTGGGGGAAAGAAGGAATGGGACAGTCCTTCCAAGTGTGGAAAAGCAACCTCTAGTCACTTGGGATGACAAAAAAAAACAGTCTTCAGGTCTGAGTCACTTCTGGGGCGCAGGCAAGTCAGTTACACTTTCCACGTTCACTCCCTTGACCTGCTTTCTCTCTCTGCTGCTGTCGAAGAGACACTTTAGCTGCTGTAAAAGTCACCTGTTAGGTGTAGCATCCAGCGACTGCTAGTAAATCACAGAGCTGTGTCGTCAGCATGATTCTGCTTCAAACATTTCCCTCACCTTAGATTCCTCGTACCCATCTGCAGTCAGGACAGTCAGACCTCTGGCCCCTTTAGAGTTAGGTTCGGCCTGGCTGCCCCAGTGACCGTGGACAACCTAGTGCTTCTTCCCAGGGTTCCCTGCCCTGCTGCTGAGATCTTGGGATCTTTCCCAGGTAGAATCCCTCCAGTAACTTTCTCTTGCAATTCGAGTAAATCTCAAAGTTCTTAGTGTGGTTTCTTTTTTTGTTGTTTTGTTTTTTTTCGGGTACCAGGAATTGAACTTACCACCTTGTGCTTGCCAGGCAGCGCTGTGCTAAATCCCCAGCCCCCTTAGTGTGGTTTCTTTGAGACTATGACTCTACCTGCTGGCAACCTCATCTACATCTCCTAGGAGAGTTCAGGAAAGGTGCTGACAACCCTAGGCCTCCGTGGGCATAGTGCACAGGTGGCATGCAGAAGGAAACCTCTCACCCTCCCTCGCTGTCCTGTTCCTCTTCCCATCCTGGGCCTTTGCATATAGTATTTCCTCTTAAACTGCACCAGACCTCTGCTGGGCTGACTTCTCTATTCAGCTCAAATGTCACCTCCTCAGAAAGGCCCCTGACCTACCCTCACAGGAGTAGCCTTACCCCTCCGGTAGCCACTATCCTGGTTGTTGCCACCCTGCTCCTAAACCATTCCCCAGAGACATATATTTTATTTTTTTTCTTTAATGGCTCTCTTTCCCCATTAGAGTATAAATTCACAAGGGAAAAAACTTGACCAGAAAAAAAAAAAACAAAAACCAAATTTGACCATTATTGATCTCAGTATTTATAGAAATGCCTTTCATGGTAGCAACATTGTCAGCAATCAAAATGCCAGCAACAGTAATTAATAGTAATTAATGCTTGCTCTGTGCCAGCCCAGTTCTAAGGTTGTTTGTTTTTTGGAACAAGATCTCACTATATAGTTCAGGCTGGCCTTGAACTCACTGTATAGCCTGGGTTGGTCTCGAACTGGCAGTGATCCTTCTGCCTCAGCCTCTCCAGTGCTGGAATTACAGGCGTGTGCCACCACATCTGACTAAAGGAAACTCTTAATAATTTTAGGAAGCTGACTCTAGAAAGATCATTTTGAGGTATTTTGCAGAAAATTTGACAAGAGTTGATGAAAGCAGGAAAAACTACAATTAAGTTGCATATTCAAGGATTCCTTCCTTAGGATTTACAACCGTACTTAAGTCTTTACTCAGTTATGAAATATTACAGACTCAGTAAGATGTGGTGATTAACTGGATGTGGAGTTTGAATAGCTGAAAAATAGCTGAAGACATGGGAATGTCTAACGTGGGAAGTGGAGGTGATGGCAGCATTTTCTGAGAACACCAGAAAAGCAGGCTTGGTGGGAGATGAGAGAGCAGATCTGGAATTTGAAGACATCAGCACAGCTGCAACCATCTGTGCTAAAGATTTTTAAGCGAAACGTTCAATAGAATTTGTCTAGAAACAAAAGACTACTAACAGCAGCCTTGCACTTGTCCCTGTCTGGCTTTGCTGTTGACTGAAATCAACTGTGAAAACTAATCACATTTTGGTCTTTTTGCTGCATGTTTTCCATAGGAAATCATGGAATGTCCAAGTTGGAGAAGATTTTAGAGAGCTTCTGCCTAACATTCTGCCTGAGAAAGTACATCAGTGACAGCGACCACCCCAGCACGTGCTCACCACCCGCAGCTCGCGCTCCGCGCGGGCCGCCTGGCACGTGTGTACCGAGGGGCTCCTGTGCTGGAGCACAGGAGCCTTGCACTAAACCTGCCTCTCACCTGTTCAGCAGTCCTAGTGCTGCACGCAGGGTATATTTACTCAGTTTTTAGAATGTGACAACCCCTTACTTACATCTCCCCAAGACATTTAAAAGTCCTGCCTGTTGATCGCCCTAGGACACCTGCCTGACATTTGCAGACTTCTGACTCACCAGACAGAAAGGTCTTTACCTAATAACTTGTCTACCCAAGCACAAGATTGCTTGTTTGGTCAAAAGTAAGCTAAAAGCAATTTAAATTGTCCTAAGGTGCTCAAGTGGTCGTTTAAGTCAGTGTGGACTGTACTTAGAGAAAGATCAGGTCTGAGAATATCAGTATGGGGGTCATATGCACTCATGAGTCTACATATTTTGATATCACCAGTAGATCCAACAAAATTAGCATTGAACCAACAAGGAGTGTATAACTAAATATGTTTTGTTGTACAGATAGAGGCTGTATAAGTGCTGTGGACTATTAATTAGAATGCACCTTCTTACAAAATGAAAAGTCAGTTCCTGTTGCTGCTGGTACAGAGAAGTGTGCAAGATGCTGTCTAAAGTGTAAGTGGTAAAAATGAACTTGTGAACTGAGCTTTTTGAAAATAAATTTTAGCCACAGAAATATATATTAATAAGCAAATTTAAATTTTCAGGTGTGAATAGAATAATTGAAAATAAGAATACCTAGAAACTAAGGTATCTTTTATTTTACTTTTAATATTTAAAAATTATAAACATATACAACTGATACCCTAGTTTTTTCTGTCTGTATTTAATTTTGGAAAACCTGAAGCTTGCCTATGCTCTCAACCTTAACCAGCTAATTCCACATTGTTTTATATAGTCCTTGTGTTGGGCTGATGGAGTAAACCCACTTTCTTTCCTGTTCATAGACTTATGTGAAATTTATATCTGCTTTCTAAAAATAGAAAGATACAGCTGGTTTTTTTGGAGCAGTTAGTATGTACGCTGCTTAAATGAGAAACCCAGTGTTGTTGTGCATGCTTTACTGTCCTGCCACGTGGTACATGTACATTCCTATCAAGGCAGGTGCTGTGCAGGAGGGTCTGTGCGTCAGCTACCTCAGTTAGCCCTTACTCTCTTGAGGTGTGCACTCCATCTCCATCTCGTAGTACTATAAAGGATAAATAGCCTTACAGTCACAGAGCTGGTGGATCACAGACCTAGGATGTGAACCTGAATGACGTTATCTAGAGAGAAAGAATGTGGCTGAGGAACAGACACTGACAGTGACGTGGAGTTAACAAGCAATTAATTCGGGCGGTACAGCCCTTTCCAACATTGAATGGCTCTGCATTGTGGTTCTGAGACTGCGCCAGCCCAGAGGCACTGTATTTGAAAGTCCAAATATGCTGCATGTGGACATCCTGGGATGCTTCTGAATCTCCCAAAGAAACATGTCTTCAATCTGGTTGGAGAGGAGTATGCACTAGTCCTATAAACCAGTCTCAGGTTTCCGGTCCTTATCCTAGCCTCATCCTAGGGGCTTGAGGCACCAGTTGATGAATCTTGGAATCTAAATAGAATGTGTGATGTACATGTACCAGCTCCACACAAGGAGTGTAAGCATGCTCTACACATGGAAACATACAAAAAAGAAGGGGCTCAAGAAGTGGACAGAAGGGAGGAGGACGGGAAGGGAAAGTGGATTTAAAAAGAATTAAGATGTACTATGTACATGTACCAACTCTCCACAAGGACTGTAAACATTGTATACTATAAATGTGTACTGATACAAAAATCTATTCTATAAAAATGGATTTATATATAAATCCATTTACATAAATCTAAATAAAAATATCTATTATATAAAAATCTATTTTATCATGTACTGATGTAAAAATAATCTATTCCCAGTCAAAAAAACTACGTTGCCCTGCTGTGGAGACAGTTACTTATTCTGTCATAGTCACGGGCAAGGCCCACCTTCAGTCGCAGCCCCAAGGGAAGGTCCAGGTAGGATGTTCACACCAGGCAAGTGCAAGAAGACCTCTGCCATTGCTCTGGAACCCAGCAGAAGGGGTAATGCCCAGAGGATGCTTTAAGCACTTGGCTCAACTGTGTGACAGAGTGAAGCCTACAGGCCATTTTCCTCTGAAAGTCACATCTTTGTGGTCTGTGGTTTCCAAGACTTTTTTGCAATGTTCCAGTCAAATAGCAGAATATGTATATAGCTTGTGTATATAGCTGGTTCTCTTTTCAGCAAAAACCTACTCACAATTTTAGATGAGACAGAACTGTTTGTAACAGACCTTGGGCATATTTAAAAAGGCCAAGATCTCACCTCTGTATTTCAGTCAGATTAAAAACGAACACTTGTAAGTTCGTATTATGATCCCCAAATCAACTAGATGCAGAGTTTTAACAATTTCATCATTTACAGAGGCAAAGTCATATTTATTGAAAGTAGGATAATATTTCCACATGCACAGTGTGATAGAAGTGGAGGATGCTAAGTGACTTAACCAAATCAAGAGTATGGCCAATCCAAAAGCATGAAAATCTGAACCATAAATAAAATTGCTGGTTTTCATCAATCTTAGGCTCATGAGAGACCTGCCAGCAATGGTGAATGGCAGTATTAAACATCTTTACAAATAAGTGGCCATTTTAAAACTCTTGTTTGAGTAAATAAATGTGTTCTGTCTTCTTTAAGTACTCAATTCATAACAGAATTTTCTAAGAACAGTGCTTCCTGCAGGCCCATGCCAGTCAGCGGGCCTGAGGTCCCTGTAGTCACCATCTTGTCTCGAAAGAGGCTGTGGCTGCCACATCAGAATACTCTAAAGCCAGACCTTCCCCTTTCTCTCTTCTCTGTCCACCTCCTTCTTTAATTCTACTCACCTTGCTCTTTACAGCTTGATCCTGTCAAGCAGAGTTGATTAGTTTACTCTTTCCTCATATTGGGCTGTGATTTTACCTGATCTGCTCATTCCTTCATGCTTTTGATCTGTCTGTGACTTATGGTAACAGTACACAGTAGTTTGGATTTTCTCGGTGTCATTTATCATTTTAAAGAATTGCCATCAGGGGGCTGGGGATTTAGCTCAGCGGCAAAAGCGCCTGCCTGGCAAGCGCAAGGTCATGAGTTTGGTTCCCGGTACCGGAGGAAAAACCAAAAAAAAAAAAGAATTGCCATCAGGCATGATGGTGCATGCCTGTAATCCCAGCACTTGGGAGGCTGAGGCAGGAGGATCTTTGTGAGTTTGAGACCAGCCTGGGCTACCAAGTGAGCTCAAGGCCAGCTTGAACTGCATAGCGAGTTCCTGTCTCAAAAAGACAAAAAAAGATAGCCAAGTACATCATTTTCATCTGTAAGTAACATTATACAACCAATGTTCATGATTACACTTGTTTAAGTGAGAAGGGTACTTTCTGGCTTCCCAAATGGCAGTCTCTTCTATTTAGAACATTTCAATTGCCTAGCAATCTTGACTAACATTCCATTTGTTACAGTTCTTTATGGTCTATTTCATTGCCTACTATTTATTTTCTAAAAGTGATGGCACAAGTTACATTAAGGTAGACTTTATTTTCAGTTGTAGTTTGGACAGATGGCGCCTCGGTAATCAAAGGGAAGAGACTGAGAGTGAAGTGGAGACCCCTACGCAGGGAAAGCTCAGCTCACAGGTTGTTTCCAGCCCTGCATACTTACAGATGTGAATGGACGTAGTTAATGCATGAATTAATGTGACCTTCCTCATTCCGTTACTTTGTTGGTTCTTTGTTGGCCCAGTTCTATTTGGTTTTACTATTTGTTTTTAAAGAACCCAGGTTTTGATTCATTAATTTTACGTATTGTTTTTCTATTTTCTACCTCAATTTCTGCTTTTACATTTATTACTTTGTATATGCATTTTCTTCTTTTTTGTGTTAGACATTGATTCATTTTATTCTTACTTTTATTTATTTCTTTAGCAATGATAGAGATTGAACCCAGGGCCTTGCACATGCGAGGCTAATGCTCTGCCACTGAGCTCCACGCCCACCTTCACCACCCTTTTGATTTTGGGACAGGTTTTTACTAAGTTAGCCAGGCTGGCCTTGAACCTGTGATCCTCCTGTCAGCCTCCTGACTACCTGGGATTACAGGTGTGCAGGAGCACACCTAACTTTCTAAGAGCTTTTCAATCTGTCTCACAGGTTGTTTTTGCAGTCAGTATTTTTCAGAAGTTCTTTATTGTTTTTACTTCGCTTGTTACATAGGAACTGTTTAACAGCAGGCTTCTTATTTTTAGACATTGTTTCCATGTTTTTTTTCCAGTGCGGGCATCGAACTCCGGAGTCACGCTTGCCAGGTGGGCACTGAGCAAGTGCTGCTGAGCTCCACCTCGGCCCTCTAGACTTGCTATTGTGAGGTTTCATTTTTTGTTTTTGGATTTATTACATTGTAACTAGAGATTACAGTTTATAACATTTCTACTTTATGGGAGTTACTGATCTTTTATTTGTGCCCTAGATTGATTTTTATGAATGTTCCACGTGCACTTTAGAAGGAAGTGTATGTTGTATTACCAAAGTCTAGTGCTCAGTGTATTTCCAGAGCTCTATGTTAGCGATTCCTTCATCTAATCTCTTGTATCCATGCTCATCTCTACTCCATTTGGCCTGTCTTCTGCTGAGTACTGTGCTTAGTTCTTTCCCCTTGGTACTGGGGACTGAATCCAGGGCCTTCACACTGAGCTACATCCCCAGCCCCTTTTTTGATATTTTTTATTTTGAGGCAAGGTCTTGCCAAGTTGTGCAGGCTGGGTTCAGATTTGCAATCCTTCTGTGTCGGATTCCCAGCTAGACCCCAGCCCTCAGAGAGTTGTTTTCTTATGAGCCACTTTGAAAATCATTTTTTTCAGTAAGCAAGTTGAGTGTCCCCACGTTTATGACATAAATGTTTTGCTTGTTGTAATTTCTGTCATATTGTGTGCACATCACTGTATTTATTTTGTGTAATAACGGGATATATATAAATTTCAGATATTAACAAAGTTCTGGTTATTCTGTGAAGTGTGTTCACATCATACCTTATTACTAACGGTTGAATAATTGGTCTTTCATAGACAAGAACAATAGGAACCAAAGGAAGCACTTATAATTCAGGATCTCTAAGAAGAGGTAGAAGTAGTTAATATGGAACCAAAACCATGTGAGTCAAATACTGAAGACCTTTTATCAAGTAGTGGCATCACACCCAGTGGAGGTACGTACCGTTACAAAACACACCCGGAAAGAGCAGCATTAAACAATCTTTGCGACATTCGGTCAGTCTCCTCCTCTTTAAGATGTTTTGTTTTTAGCTCCAGGGTACGGAACACAGTCACGAATGTCTGCTATTTGTTTACAATCCTGTTTTGGGGGAAGAAATTGCTCGGCCTTTGAAATAAGCGAATCTGTGCTTTCCGCGCACGTGTACGTCAGTGCTGGGTGTACGACTGTCCCTGCGTCGCATTGCTCCAAGCCCCGCTCACTGCCCACGCTTCCCCAAGGCCTCCCCTCCCCGTGCCCGCCCTGAATTCGAGTCCTGCGCCGCCTGAGCCCTCCGCACCCGCACCCGCACCCGCGCCGGCCGGGGACGCTCCCGCTCGCCCTCCCCTTCCGCCGCCCTGCGCCGGCCCCCCGCTGCCGGCCCTCGGTCCCCCGGAGCAGCCGCAGCCTGTGCCCGGCGCAGGGGGCTGTGCACCGTCGGCCGGACCTCGACCCCAGCGCCTTCGCTTCGGCAGCGTTTGCTCCGGGACGCACGCACCCTCCCGGAGCGCAGCGCCGCGCCCGCCCCTCCTCCGCTCGTCAGGGCCCCGCCCCTCGGCCGCCGCCCCCTGCTCGCACGTCCTCGGTGGCCCGCCGCACAGCTTCACTCGCGGCTTCTCGCCCTCTTCGGGTCCCGTCACCTCCGCCCTCTTCTGGCCGCTCCCCCACGCTTGCCGTTGTCCCCCAGGACTGCCGGAGGCGCGGAAGCCAGCCTGCTAGAGCCTGTCGCTCTGCCTACTGAAGGAGGGATTCTCAACCACCGTCTATGTCAAAGTCACTTTTTGAGGCTTTTCTGTTTTGAGACAGGGTCTCGCTGTGAGTTCCAGGCTGGCCTTAACCTCATTGTGCGCCCCCGGTGGGCCTTGAACACATGGTGAGCCTCCCAAGTACTGGAAGCAGAGGTGTGCGCCACCACAACTGGCACCTGAGATTTCCAACATTTAAGGGGCTGACGCTGAGTAGATCTGGAGCGCAGTGGAGACATCACTGGGTTTGTTGTTTTTTAAAGCTGTGCAGGTGCATAGTGGTGCATCCCTATGATCCTATTTAGTTGGAAGGCTGAGGCAGGAGGATCCCAAGTTGGAGGCTGACCTGGGCTACTTAGCAAGATGCTGTCTCAGAATAGGAAACAAAAAGCCCTGGAGATGTAGCTCAGCGGGAGAGTGCTTATCTCATGTGTGAACCCTGGGGTTCAGTCCCCAGCATACACCTCCCTCAAACACACAACTCCACAAGTAACAAAAATTGAGAGCAACTGGTGCAGATTCTGCCATTTTTTCCCTAGAGTACCAGTCTTCCCGTCTGTACCTCCCTTTGGGCCACTATCTCAGCCGAAGGCCAGTCCTCTTTCCCTTTACTCTTCTGTCGGTCTCTTTTAGGAAAACCCAACTCCTGCCAGGCTCGTTGTCCTCTCCAGTTTATACTGGGCTTCTGGAAGAGTTTGCTACAGAAAAGACACAGAATTTCCCCCAATCTGTCGCTTCAAAGTCAGAGTCTTCTACCTCCACCGGGTCCTGACACCTCTGAGAAACAGTGTGGTCTTAGCCGGGTGTCTTTCCACGGCTGTGTAGTGCTGTACAATCCTTACTTCAAAGTCGTACTGTTCCAGATGAACCTGAGCCCCTGCCATGACCACAGGCCCCTCCTGGGCTGTCCTGCACCTTTATTCTCACATTTGGCCATTGCCTTCTTGCCAGAACACACCTGTCTCAAGCGTCCTCACCTTTAATTGTGGTGTTCCTGCTGCATGCAGCGTCCCCTCTCCTGTCCTCTTGACTGGTTCTTTTTGTTTGTTTGTTTGTTTTTATTTTTATTTTTTGAGACAGGGTCTGCTTGGGCAGTTCAGGCTATCCTTGAACTTGCTATGTAGCCCAGGCTGGCCTTGATCTTGTGGTGATCCTCCTGCCTCAGCTTCCTGTGTGCCCCACGCCTGGCTGGACTGTTTCATTCTTGCTCCAAGGTACTTCAAGGCGCACCCTGCACCCATATCGTGTTGTCACCCTCATCCCAGCCACATCCTCGCGCATCTTTGCTTCTCTCTGGGGGAGCTTTTGTTGCTGTTTCACTGCCTGTTTTTATCTTGCCTTTCTTTAGGGCTCAGACGGGAACCACTTAGTGTAAACTTGCTTCATATAATGCTTGTCATGGTTACTGTATGAATGAACTAACTAATGAATTATTCAACGCTCAGGTTCCTCAAGCCCGTTTTTTGTGTCACCTATCCGTGGTACAGTAATTGAAAACACAGCCTCAAGTGGGACTTTGACACAGATTCCTGCTTTCCCTAAATATGAAGTGGAACTTGATTCTCCCAGAAAGATCATTGCTTATCCGGGCAAGGAGCACATCGAACGTGTTCTGGAAGAATATTCACATCAAGTCAAAGATCTGCAGAGAAGACTCAATGAGGTGAGTCGTATTCTTCTAGCACCTGTCACTGTTCTGGGGCCAAGAGGGACGTCAGTGGCCTTAGAGTAAATTTACACTTCTTAGACGAAGACATGAGCCATGGGTCTGTGGGCCAAACTAACAAGTGCTGTCTATTTCACTATTCAAAACTGAGCTAATGAAAAGTCTGTATAACTATTTTCCACTTGCTAATAATCCTTCATAGCCAGGCATAGTGGCACATGCCTGTAATCCTAGCAGTCAGGAGGCTGAAGCAAGAGGATTGCGATGAGTCCGAGACCAGCCTGGACTCCATGGTGAGTTCAAGGTCAGCCTGAACTACACAGCAAGACCCTGTCTCAACAACAACAAGTTGTTCAGTAATCCCTTGGTTTCGTGATATAATCTCAATGAAATTTGAATAGCTTAGAATGTTAAGTAAAAGAAAAAGAATGTTACAGTTAAGGATACTCATCTGCAGATATAATACTCAGTGGTTCAGGCCTGCTGTCCCACTATCATGAACTGGTTTCTCTTTATAAATAGGGTATGCTTTCAGATGTATGTGCACACATAATGCAACTAAACAGAGTTTAGAAGTTTGCCGAAACTTTTGAGTGGACCTCATACAGAGCTAGACTGGCTTTACAGTTGCATATTGGGTCCCGAGTGCACAGGCTAAAAGCGACCCCCGCCCACTCCCAGATTGTGCTGACCTAAGCTCTCCCGGCTGCTTTGGCCCCGTCCATGTCCCTCAGGTGCGGCGGCACCGAGAGGCTCGCTCATCTCCGATGTCTCTTGTAGCGCGGGAGTTCCAGCTTGGCCCGGCGGCTTCCTCCTCCCTGGCCACGCCCTTACTGCCCCCCCAGGTTTAGGCGTTTCCTCCTCTGCAGCGGCCCTCCCCTCGGGGTGGGTGTGTTCACAATCACTGCCTTCTGCGCATAATCACTGCCTTCTGCGCACGTATTGTCTTTTCGTTTTTGTTTTTCCGCCCCTCGGTACCGGGAATCGAACTCACGACCTTGCGCTTGCCAGGCAGGCTTTGTACCGCTGAGCTAAACCCCCGGGCCCCTGCGCACCTGCTGTATTGCTTAATATATCATACTGCACTTATTGCCACGTTGTTCTATCTCACTGATGGTGAGCCTTTTAGAACTTCAGTGGTAACAGACAGCCTGCTGCGGCACACGTGCCATAGGTTTGCCACCACTGCTCTATCTCATCAGAGCACTTTATGGGGAAAAACCCCTTATGAGCACTTTCAGGGGAAAAGCCCCACAATTTTATTAAATGCTCAAAATTATGTACCACTGTATCATATAGTGGACATTCAACACTGTATACAAGAGGATGCCTGAAGAGTCCATCATTTTGGAAGGGAGCTGGTCACATAAACAAACAGTGACAACCCTTTATGACAGGTACTCTAAAGGACATATAGGGACAAAGCAAGCAGAGAAGCACTAGTGAGGAAAAGGAACAATGTCTTGATTTATTTTCTGTGTCCATCCCCTGGCACAGCTTGTCACATTTAGTTGGCTCCTAATAAATATGTTAAATCACTGAATAACTAACAGCACCATTGGGCTACTTGTGATATTTAACATGCACCTCCTGTGTCACGGACATGGTGCTAGGTGCTGGTTAAATAAAGACAGAAAGACATAGGCCCTTGCCTGTACACAGAGAGATCTGCAGTACAGCAGGGGTAAACAGTGATGGTAAATGCAACTGATGCTTTATATTTCTTCTTTCACTTTCCTTTCAGCATTTGACCAAGTAATCAGCTTCCTGTTTTTTAACGTTTTCTTTTGGTAGTGTTAGAGATCAAGCCCAGGGCCTCGTGTATGCCACAGCAAGTGCTCTCCCTCTGAGATGTGCCTTTGGCCCGCTATTCTTCTCTTCTTATTTATTTTGCAAGTTGGTTTTGTTTTTGTTTTTGTTTTAATGCTGGGGCTTGAACACAGGGCCTTGTGCATTGCAACCATATTTTTAATTTCTAGGACTTCTACCCTAATCTCTTTGGCATAGCATCCTGTCTTTTATAATTGTAATGTCTCTTGAATTTCTCTGTTCATTATCATTTTTGGAAATACTGGTTCGTTCTTTGCATTATATTTGTTTCTGGGTGTTTGCTTTTTCAGTCTTGGTGTCTGTTTTTATTTTAGAATCTTTCTTTCAGGGTTCAGTGGTTATGTTTTTCTGTTCAGACTGAAGGATGAGGCAATAGAAGAGCTGATGGCAAACTCACTCTTTATGGGCAGAACTTGATGGCACTGCTTGGGATAATTAGGTGAGGCATCAGCAGTTACACTGGGAGGCCCTTCCCTGCCTGAGTGTAGAAACCCTTGTTAATTTCTCTGTGCTAAGCACATTGGTTTTTAGGTGGTTTTGTATGTTGCCAGTATTTTAAGTATGGTAGAAACAGTGTTTGGCTTTTCGATATATATAAGTTCAACTAGTTCTGCTATTTTGAAGGAACAAAATTTGTTCCCATTTTCATTTGTTTTTGATTTGTTGCAAGATAGAGAGTGGGTAAAAAGAGTCCAAGCTTTTGGTAAGGAAAGGTAAGGAAACTACTTATGGTGTTCAGTACTCTAGGTAAGAGATGAGCGATTGGGATTTGAATTGCAATGATAAGGGGAGAGCCACATACATAACAAGAAATTAATAATAGCCTTTTGGAAATTATTAGCTACAAGGATTTAAGTTCCTCTAGTGAGATTAATTTGCTTGACTTCCCCCGCACCCCCAGAGCAATGAACTGCATGAGAAACAGAAGTTTTACCTAAGGCAATCAGTCATCGATTTGCAGACAAAACTTCAAGAGATGCAGATGGAGAGAGATGCCATGGCTGACATCAGGTTGGCATTTGTTACCTACATCTTTTCTCCCACGGGTAGTGATAGAGCCGAGACCCACACAGAATCAGACCAGACCTGACACGAGGGCAGTCTGTATTGGAGGGAGCGACGTGGTGGGCTGCCCAGCGGACTAAGACAGCCCCGAGCTGAGCAAAGTGTGTGGTTTTTAAGCTACCTTTCAGGGAGGGTGTCCATGGGCGAGAACATTTTCCGGGAGCGGGTGTCCGTGGGTCAGAACAAACCAAGTGAGGTGGGTTGTTCATAAGAGTTGAATGTCTGGTTCTGCCAAGGTGGATAAGGGCAGGGTTGGCTTTTGTTAAGGGCAATGGGAGGGGAACAGGTGAAGAGGAAGTTTTTATTAACTCCTTAATAAAACAGCTTAAATCCCCTGTTGGGGGAAGGGGGTTCCCTTGTGACTTATCAGGTAGTGCTAGGGATGTAGCCCAGGACCTGGTGTGTGCCAGGCAGGTCTTCTACCACTGAGCTACATCCCCAGCCATGGAGTTATTTTTGAAGTTTTACTCTTTAGCAAAATCACTTGTATTCATTAGTGTTACCCATATTATTTCTTTTCTTCCATTAATTTCACAGACGAAGGGAGAGTCAGTCTCAGGAGGATTTGAGAAATCAGCTTCAGAGTACAGTTCATGAACTGGAAGCAGCCAAATGCCTGAAGGAGGACATGCTGAGAGACAGCAGCACGCAGATGGAGCAGCTCAGGAAGGTGATGCTTAGTCATGAAGGCACCCTGCAGGAAATTCGGACCATCCTAGCCGACTTTGAAGAAGCCTCGGGCAAGAAAATACAAGAACAGGACAATACGTCTACCATGCCCTTCCGAAGCTTGGGCACAGCTATTAGTAAAACTCTAAGAGAATTAGATACAGAAATTTCTTATCTGAAAGGGAGGATATTTCCAGTAAGTGGTGAGAAAACTACTTCTATTTTATATTGAAATGCATTAAGAGAATAGTATTACATACATAATTTTAAAAAAATTCTTAAAAGTAAGCCTAGTTCTTGTTTTTGTTCTTTGAAATAATAGAGGTTACTTTCACAGTGACCATTGACCCCTGTGGTACCGGAGCTTGAACCCAGGGCTTCATACATACCAGGCAAGAGCTCTACTACTAAGCTACATCCTTTTTTATTTTTTATTTTGAGGTTTCACTAAGAATTTCACTAAGATGACCAGGCTGGCCTTGAATTTGTGATCCTCCTGCCTCAGCCTCCTGGGTAACTGGGATCACAAGGGTGTGCTACCATGCCCTGGCCACAGTGATCTGTCTTGATAGGAAATCAGCTTGATTTATATGCAGCTTCATGAAAGGGTAACCAGAGTAAAAGATCTAATAAAATATAGTAATAGAATTTATTGGAATTAGTATTCTATTTGCATCTCTAAAGCATTTCTTTAGTTGAAAATCTATGAATTTCCCAAGCTTTAGATTTTTGGTTACTGAGAACAATGTCTAATTTTTTTTTTAAACTAGGTAGAAGATCAACTTGAAACACTGAAAACTGAATCACAGAACAAAATAGAACTACTGCTGCAACAGCATCAAGACAGGTAGGTCCTGACTGAGGTGTAGAAAGTCAGAATGAACCACATCACAGTTCTACAGTCGCTTCCCTGGAATTCCAAAATCTGAAAAGCCCTGAGACACAGAAGATCTTTTTCTTAGGCTTGTAGCAAACATTTATCAAAGAAAATAATTCTTCTGACCCTTGTTAAAGCTGTAAGAAAGGTTTAATTTAATATAGGTTTTGCGGGAGGAGCAACAGACCAAGCCCAGCTCTCAGTATGGCAGGCAAGTGGGCAACCCGTGAATGGGGAGTTATTATGCAGAGACCTCCCGGGCGTCCTGCCCAGGGAAGCCAAGGATTAGCTGTCCATGCTGCGGATGAGGAACGTCATCAGTCAGGCTTCGGGGATGGAGGAGACTTGCTAAACTGACTGGGCAGAATTCTTGCTAGGACTGGTCTGGACCAGAAAAAGGACTGGAGCTAAGAGCAAGGCTTAGTTGAGAGAGCGCTTAGCAGGAAGAACCTGACTGAAGTTTGGTCAGGATCAAACTTATGCTTCATTTGTTGGCAAAACCTGACCTGAACTAATGTCAAGATTTTTAGTCTCTGTGATTTAGATTGGATGCTTATAAACTTGTATTTGTAATGTGTTTGGTGTATAAGACCCTTTGCTAGATCTTACACAGGGTGTCATTCATAATTCTTTTTGTGAGACTGGTTGCCCAGGCTGGCCTCAAGCAAGCTCTTGGGCCCTGTGATCCTCCTGTCTCAGCCTCCCAAGTAGCTGCAACTATAGACCTGTGCAACTATGCCCTGCCCAGCACTCATAATTTATTTTAACATTGTAAAATTTTAAAATTCTGCATTTTATATCCTAGCTGCCCCTTAAAAGATTTGGGTAAAGGATTCTGGACTGAAAGAGTAGCATATACAAATCTGAAGCAAATTACTAAACTTGAGAATGTTGAAAATCACTTTAAAAATAATTCATAGTCAGGTAAAATTTCCTATATCAAGTAACATCACCACATTCTTTGTATAGGATTGAGCAGTTGATAAATGAACATGAAGTCGAAATAACAGGACTTACGGAGAAAGCGAGCAGTGCTCGGAGCCAAGCCAACAGCATCCAGAGTCAGCTGGAAATTATCCAGTATGTGTGCGCTGGGGTTTGAGGTCAAATTGATAATTGAATTGATCTTCATTTAAAAATATCATGTTAATTATTTTTCTGTCCTAAGATCCTTTAGCCACTGCTTAGTAATTGATCCCACAAGAAAGTACAGCTTTTCTAATACTTAAATGAACAGAAAAGATGACTTAATATATAGATAATATTATCTGACCATATAAGAAGTAGTATTGTATTTCAACCTCCTGGAACTGACTGTCCAAGTTGAAGATTTGTTCATATTTAAACTGATAGAGTAAGGCAAACAAGTGCACTGCACATGTATTCATGTATATGTGTGCATAATACATATAGATAAAAGATATGTACATATAAAAATTTTATCATTTGAACTAGTATGTTAAGACTTTTGGAGCAGGTACTGGAGATTGAACCCAAGGCAAGTGCTCCACCACTGAGCTATATCCCTGGTCTTTGAAAAATTTTTATTTTGAGAGAAGTGCTTGCTAAGTTGCCCAAGGTAGACTTAAGCTTGGGATCCTACTCCCTCAGTCTCTGGGATCCCAGGTACACACCACTGTGCCAATGTACTATGACTTTTTCTATGGATATTTTCAATTATATACAAAGTAGAGGAAAAATAGTATAATTGATTTCCATATACCTGTCACCCAATTTTGGCCATTACCATTTTTGAGCTAAACATTTTTTTTCTCTCTTTTTGTGCTGAGGACTGAACCCAGAGGGCCTGTCTTTTCCTTCCTTTCTCCTTCTTTCCTTCTTTCTTTCTTTCTCTCTTTCTCTCTTTCTGTCCTGAGGACTGAACCCAGAGGGCTGTGTGCATACTAAGTATACATCTATCACTGAGCTCTGACCCCATCATTGAGCTGCAACTTTATTTTGGTACCAGGAATTGAACTCAGGACCTCGTGCTTGCCAGGCCAGATCCCTGGCCCTTTCTTTTTTTTTTTTTTTTTTTTTTTTTTGAGACAGGGTCTCACTATCAGGCTGGCCTCAAACTCACAGCGATCCTCCTGCTTCAGCCTCCTGAGTGTGAGTGCTGGGGTTACAGGCATGAGCCATTACGCTTACCTGAGCTGCAATTTTTAAGAAGCAATTTTGGATAATAAAAATCAGTTGGCCTAGTGATGCCATCTAAAATAACTAGAGGTAGTATCCAAAAGCTAGAGTACCCTTGGGTATCACACATGCTTTTAGTTTGCTTTTGCTTTTATCCCTTCCCAACTCATCTTAGAGAACAAGCAAGAAATCAGAATTCAATGTATATGCGTCAGCTCAGTGACCTGGAGTCTACTGTTTCTCAGCTGCGTTCCGAACTGAGGGAAGCCAAAAGGATGTATGAAGACAAGGTAAATTTAGATTTTGCTGTTCTGCTTCCAGGGACTATTATGTACAAAGTCGGCAAAATATTTTAATAGCTTATTTGAAAATGAATCAAAATAATAACCGATTAAAATCAGCTCATAAATTGGAGTAGAAAAATGCTAAATTATCCCTTAAACTGTAAAGAAACAATTTTTATTTAAACAACATGCTCAAATTCATCCTTAAACATTTTTGCACACTTCAAGTAAGTTTTTATTTTGGGGGTTTTTTGGGGGGTTTTTTGGTTTTTTTCCGGTACCGGGAATCGAACTCACAACCTTGCGCTTGCCAGGCAGGCACTGTGCCGCTGAGCTAAATCCCCAGCCCCTCAAGTAAGTTTTTAAAAAATAAATTCAAGGGCTGGAGATATAGCTTAGGGGTCGAACACCTGCTTAGTATGTGTGAGGCCCTGGGTTCAGTCTCTAGTACCACAAAGATAAATAAACAAGAAATAAATTTTAAAAATAGGACCATAATATTTTTACTAAGCTTAGCTTTAGCAAATATTTCAGTACCAAGTGGTCTACCCCTATCACTCAATATTTTGGGAACATTCTTCCTTTCTAACATAACTTAATCATTGTGTGGCTAGCAAACTGCATTTTAAAATTAAACTAATTAGTCAAGCGTGGTGGTGCATGCCTGTAATTCCAGCACTCGGGAGGCTGAAACAGCAGGATCATTGCAAGTTTGAGACCAGCCTGGGCTACAAAGTGAGCTGAAGACCAGCCTGAACTGCACAGAGAGACCCTGTCTCAAAAAGACAAAAAAAAAAAAAATTAAACTAATTAAAAATAAAAACAGGGAACTAAGTCTTCATTTCTCATCATAATTCCTCTTAAAACCAGATATTAACTAATATTTGATATTGTTTCTATTATTTTGTTTTCCACAGCTAAAGAGAAATTATCCAATACCATTATCAATCATTTATTCAGGGTGTAGGTTTTAATTAATTTCAACTATTTGTAAAACAGTAAAGATCCTTACAAACAAGCACAGAGCTGCCACTCAGAGGAGTTCACATTCTGTGGGAAAGGTGGCTACACACGATGTTTGTCTGTTTGTGAACATTACCTTTCATCTCCAAAGTGTCCCAGTTGGGCTCAGGAGGAGGCTATTCTGGCTTACTTTTAAGCATGGAAATTAAGCCTTAGCCTTTAACCCCTGTGGCAAGATAAGAAAAAGTTAGACCTGGTTTTACTAATGCCTAAGCAATGAAGAGTAACATGGAACTGTGCGGTATAATCTCAGTAACAGATTGGGTCCTCTGCAGCCATGTCTCTCCAGATTCTTTTTTTGTTGTTGTCTTTTTGAGACAGGGTTTCACTATGTAGTTCAGGCTGGCCTTGAACTCACTTTGTAGCCCAGGCTGACCTTGAACTTGCGGTGATCCTCCTGCGTCAGCCTCCGGAGTGCTGGGATTACAGGAATGTGCCACCACATCACCAGATTCTTGATCACTCTTCAGAGTAAGAAATGCAGTTCAGCTTATGATCGAGGACTCACATGCAGCTGAAGCAAGCTTCACAGAGCAGTGTTTGCTGAAGTACCTGTCCTGTGGGCTGTTTCTGTTCTTGTCAGATGCTGGCTAGACCCCTTCACTTGACCTCCTGATTCACTGGTGGGTTGCAGTGAATAACACCACTCTTAGTCTACATCCTTCTAACTGTGGCCACTTCCACCTTACACTGCTGAAGGACCGGACACAAGGAACAACGGCCCAGGGAAGAACTTTGGTTCTTTCCTCCCTCTCTGAGGCCTACTTTTTGTGTTCTAGTATTTTTCACAGGGCAAGCTTTTCCCCCTAGGGACAGATAGCAGTACCCCATTCTGGGCAGACCAAGCCCACCCGAAGGGCATGACCCCACCTCACAGAGTGCAAGCAGAAGGGTAGTCATGATGCTAATGCCTCTGGGCTCAGAGGAAGCCATGCTGCTCTAGAGAGGAAGTGGGAGAGTGTTTGTGTTACAGCTCAGGAGAACAACTGACACCCACAGCCAACTGCTCAGACCATTTTGAAGAGGTATCATTTGCCAAAAGATTAAACCATTTAAAAAGCCACAGTGTATTAAATAAAGCTCAACTCACCTGTATTTTCTTACACAGTTTGTAATTTCTGTAGCTGTCCATTACATGGTGGCTTGATAACATTAGCCCTGCATGAGACTCATCCACTGTTTGCTAATTTTCATTTGTGCTGATCTGTAGTATCATGTTGATCAATTCTAAATGAGGGCATGGTGGAAATTGTAACAAATGATAAAATATCCATCTAATTATGTGTGCAAATGCACACATAATTCTTAGGCTTTTATAAACATTTATCTTTGGCATTCTAGAAGCATCAGAGGCATGACTGTAAACTTCTCATGTGAATTTGGGGGATCATATAGATGCAAACATGACATCAGGACCATTATTTTATTTTGCTCTAATGTTAGTCTCCCACAGAGCTGGCACCTAGCTGATGGTTGACTGGGCTCCTAGTAACAACTCCTTTTAGTTTAGCTAAATGCTAAGAGATACGTTTTGGGACCCTGAGAGATGATTTTCTGTCATTAATATAGAGGGCAATGTACTCTTGACAGAAAGGGCTTTAATAATATATGGTGTAACTGAACAAAGAAAATTAAACAGGTTAACCAAGACTATTTCATTTGGGGGGGAGTCCACTAAAATTCTATTGTTATGAAATTTTTTTATAATGAATACGGAATATAAAAATCAAATCCTTCTGCTTACTTTTATTTTTATAAACTTTTTTTTTTTTTTTTTTGTCTTTTTGACCAAAAAGGTCTTGCTATGCAGTTCAGGCTGGCCTTAAGCGCTCACTTTGTAGCCCAGGCTGGCCTCGAACTCTCAATAATCCTCCTACCTCAACCTCCCGAGTGCTGGGATTACAGGCATGCGCCATGTCTTGGTTACTTTTTTCCCGTTGCTGGGACAAAATACCTGACGCCCAAAATTAAGGAAGGAAAGGTTTATTTCGCTTACAATCTGTGGAGGTTTCAGTCCATACTTGGCAGATTACAAGGCAGACTGGCACATGGCAGAGAGCTACAGCTCATGGTGGCAGAACACAGCAAATCAACAAGCACACACCAGGGCGGAATGGCCTCAAGAACCCTCTTCCTCTCCCTTACATATGCAAACTATCCACCCCAGAGTGGGTGTAGCTCTCACACCCATAATCAATCAAACCCTAAAAGCCTGCCCCGAGACTGCATGAGGCTTTGGGGGGACACCCAGACACAAACCATAACACGCCACCACACGCAGCTTATTTTTATATACCTTGACTTTACATGGCTAACACCTATGAAAACTTTAAAAATCTGTCTTATTTTCTGCTGCTTCAGTGCACATTTTATTATGTACTATCCAGATAATAATGAAGAATGATATTAAAAATATATAAAAGCTGTGATTAAAAATGAGACTTGTGCCAGGTGTGGTGGTGCACACCTGTAATCGTGGCATTCAGGAGGCTGAGGTAGGAGGATCACTGAGTTTGAGGCCAGCCTGGGCTACACAGTGAGTTGAAGGCCAGTCTGAACTACTATATAGTAATATAAAAAAAAAAAAGAGAGAGAGAGAGAGAGATTTGTGTGGAAAAGAAACTTAAAAGATGTGTTGCTATTAACCCTCAGTGTATTTTATCAGTGGCAGTGTTAGTGCTTCTCCTGAGGTCAGACTCCTACACTTAAATGGTGTTGGGCTGGGGTACAGCTCAGTGGTAGGATGTATGGGTTTGAGTCCCAGGATTCCTCGAAATGTTATTGTAAAAGTAAAGTGTTTACTATTTTTAAAAATTAGTGATATGACAGGTCTAAATAAGACTGTCCCAAGTAGAATGCACAAATTAAAAGAAAACTCACTTAGGAGGATATTTCTCTTCAGATTAGCAAAAATACTTCCATATTGGTGAAAATAGAAATTGTGTTCAGAGAAAAATTTAGAGGTGGTTTTTTTAGCTGACCAAGTGTTTTACTGTAATGCTGTTTTTCGTTCTTTTCTTTCCATTTTAGGAGAACTCCCAGAATTCCCCTTTTCGAATTTGGATCAGTAGAAGCTGTCACTACTGGCTCTGTAGACTTGGCTTTACTCTTAACTTTCGCTTTTTGACAACAAAAATACTTCATGATCTTAATTCTAAGTTTATTTGGCTACTTTGAAAGCATTTGGGGCTGAATTTCACACTCTGAAAGTGAAGATTCCGTGGCTCCCGCTGGAGCTCGTCCCTGTGTGGGAAGAGGCTGCGCGCTCGGCGGAGTGGCGCCAGGGCTCCTGCGCGCTGGCCGGCAGCAGCCCCTGCTGGGCCGCGGCTGTTGTCTTTTTTGAGCAGGGAGAAAACAAAAACAAAAAACACCCACCCATGTGGCACCACCAAAAACCCCCAAATAACAGAATCTTACGAGATTTGATGCAATTGGTAATATCCCTGCAGTCAACGTGACACTGAAATGAGACCCCGTGCTCCTTTACGCAGTGATGCAAACCAAAAATGCGTTCATAGAGGGTGAAGGGGAAAACCAGTGCTATTACCTAAAAAGAAAAGAAAAAGAAAAATCTTTTACCATATCTCACGTCAGCTTTTTTCCTAGACATTTTAAAAGGCTTTTTTTTGTAGTATTTTTCACAGCTGTTCATATCAGCTCAGCTGCTACTTCAGTGGTTTTCCCTTTCACTCTCCTTTATCTTTTTGATCAATTAATCCATATAAGTATTTTTACTCTAAAAAGTGAAAGGTAAAAGCAGAGCTATAGCAGCTGAGTCAGTACTGACAATGGCCAAATCAGTGTTCCCGTGGGGGACTGGAGGGGCTGTTTAATGAGCAGGTGGAAAGATAGGACTTGATTAGCTTGCTTGCTTTTCTTTTTCTTTCTTCTTTCTTTCTTTCTTTCTTTCTTTCTTTCTTTCTTTCTTTCTTTCTTTCTTTCTTTCTTTCTTTCTTCCTTTCATTTTGGTCCCATAGATTTCACATCAAGTTTGATGTTACGAAATGGTCAATCCAGAGTTTTTTAAAAAGTAAAAATAAACCTAAAAAAAAGCAAATCTTAAGTTTTTATAACAGAAATACATATAGTTTATTTGCTTGAGAATAGAAATGGTTTATGTCAAACTGGGTGTGGTGGCTCACACCTGTAATCCCAGCATTTGGGAGGCTGAGGCAGGAGGATCACTGTGAGTTTGAGGACAGCTTGTGCTACGTAAGCAAGTTCAAGGCCACGTTGTACTACATGGTGATACCTGTCTCAAAAACAAAACAAAACAAAACAAAAAAGAAATGGTTTGGGTCAGGCGAGAGGCAAAAATGTTTGCTTTAGTTATCTGATTAACTTAAATTGTTCTTGTTAAAAATTTATAACTCAAAAAACAGATGAGGAACACAAAATTGAGGCCACAAGGTTACCCGCCAAACCTGGACCAGAACCTGAGCCATTTGGCTCTTAGCCTGATCTTTGCTTCTCAGACACCCGCCTCCTTCCCTGCTGGCACACAGAGCCCCTGTGAGACAGCAGTCTGTGGTTTTTCTCCTGGGTGTTCTGGGTGGGTCCACTAAGTGTGTGCTGCCTTGTCCTGATAATGATACACGAAAAAGACTGTGTCCACTGGTATTGTTCATTAATCTTGCTCTGGAAGTTACTTACGCCACAGTGGCTAAATTTTTAAATGAGATGGATTTTTTTTGTTTGTTTTCCTTTGTGTCCCAAAAGGAGAAGAAGAATGGAAATTTTCATTTGTTTGTTTTATGGTGTAGGTCATTAAACTCAAGGCCTTGTTTATGCTAAGCAGACACTCTACTTCTGAGCTACATCCCGTCCTAAAGTACATTTGTATAGGATTATTAGAATCTAGGAATATATTTTAATCAGTGACTTAATATTTTATGCATGATTAATTCTTTGAAATACTTTCTATACGTAACATACACTCAAATTTTACACATAACATACACTAAAATACAGCCAATGTAAAATATTAATTTTGCCAGGCATGGTGGCACACACCTGTAACCCCAGCACTCAGGAGGCTGAGGCAGGAGGATCATTGCAAGTTCAAGACCAGCCTGGGCTACAAAGTGAGCGCAAGGCCAGCCTGAACTGCATAGTGAGACCCTGTCCCAAAAAGACAAAAAAAAATATTAATATGAATACCTTCTTAGACTGTGCAGGCTAAGATACTACACTGTAGGTAAATGTGAAACTGTTTGATACTCCTGTATTGGTACTTAAGTCACATATGCATGTATAAATACACAGATACATAACTTCATGTATTCATGCTTATCATTTATCAGAAATAATTGCATATACGTATATATGTATATGTTATAGATTATCAGCTGTATATTGAATTGATGAAGATTTTAAATGAACCTGGTCCAAGTAAAAATAAACTGGAAAATTATGAAGAAAAAGTTTGTCTCAGTTGTATGTTCTCTGGTTTAAAAAATTTAATCACAACACAGTATCCAGACTAAGCTTTATTCTTGATGTAGAATTTTTTTTTGGGGGGGGGGTTTCCGGTACCGTGAATCGAACTCACGACCTTGCACTTGCCAGGCAGGCTCTGTGCTGCTGAGCTAAACCCCCAGCCCCTTGATGTAGAAGATTTGAGAGCCTAGCCCCTACTGAATAGAAACCTTACAAGTAAGAAGGAATATGTAACATTTGTGCAGATATAAAAGATTTCTTATTCCTGGAGAGTGGATGATAGAATAGTATTGTAGATATCACAGTTAAACATCAAGTGTTATAATAGTGAGGTGTTAAACATCAGGTGTTATACTAGTGAGTCCCAACATATAATCATTATTTTAACATTTCATTACCTGAGGTATGATATTGTATGGCTCCAGACTAAAATCCAATCCTATAAAAAAGCTAAAATCCAAACCTAGAGTCTTCCTAAGCTGAGATCTCAACTCAGCCGGTGCTGTACCAGTAGGTGGGGGGCTATAAGGCTCCCACCGGCAGTGAAGCAGCCTCTGTCCTCTGCTAGGGGTCCTGCTGGCTGGGGACTTAGGAAGGATATTCTGGTCCCTTTGTGTGATATCACTGGTATAGTGGAACAGAGTTCCCCTTCCATTCAAACAAATCACAAACAGCTGCCTTGTCAGTGAGAGAAAAATATCCTTATAACAGTCCTTCAAAATTAGTACTCTTATTCCCATTTTATAATTAAAGAAAATGAGTGTTGGAGTGGTTAAATGTAATTGTCCTGCAATGCATATGCATTGTCCAACTATAAAATATATATTAACTTATCCTTTCAAAATATAGTGGCTAACATAACTATTGTTATTCATTCTTTTATGTACAGCGCATTTTATTCTCAAACCTCTGATATTCTAAAACAAAATAGCTCTTTTAACATAATCCCATTTGCTAATGTGGGCTCTGCAGGATGTTATTTATGCCGCAGTAGCTTCCTTAAAGACCAAGGTACATGTTCTCTTTCCTGACCTGAGTACCCATCCCATGCATATACTCAGTCTGTGAAGTGAAATGGACTGTAAACATATAATTTATAATTTTTTGAATTATTCTGGATTTATCCATAATTGTTATATGTAAATATATTTTTTGTAAATATATTTTTAAAGTTAATAAATAATACTTTTTTGAGGTTAAAAGAACACTATATTACAGAATGTATCTTGAAGACAAATGTTGACCAGCATAAACATTAGCGAGAGATGTGTTACAGACAGTGCTCAGATCCAGCAGTACCGTACACTTTATTTTGGCTAATTTCCCTGCATAGTTCTTAAGTTTAGAAAACTTTGCAAAACATATACAATAATCTTTTATTTTTGCCCTCCACATAATGCCATTTCCCAAAGACTTAGTTTTCTGTGAGCCACTGACACAGACCCTTTTCAACTGGTGCTTTTCTTTTAGATAGAAGAGCTGGAGAAGCAGTTAGTCTTGGCCAACTCAGAGCTTAGTGAAGCACGAACAGAACGGGACCAGTTCAGCCAGGAATCTGGAAATTTGGATGATCAGCTTCAAAAGCTATCGGTAAGGTTATGCTCTAAAGTATAAGTGAGATTAATCCTGTGAAGCTTTTCATCAAAACATTTTAAAAACTAGATTCCTTTATAAAATTACAGCTTCTATAAAATATTCCTGTATATATACAACAGAATACCCTAGACACTATGCATATCCCACGAATAAAATATAATATTATATGCTCTTTTTTCGTAAGTACAGTTGTTATGATGTGCAGAAGGGATCTTCAAGCAGCCACAGTCTTTTTTTGTTTGTTTTTTGAGACAGGGTCTCACAATATAGTTCAGGCTGGCCCTGAACTCACTATGTAACCCAGGCTGACCTTGAGGCAATTTTCTTGCCTCAGCCTCCTGAGTGCTGGAATTACAGGTGTGTGCCACCACACCTGGCTGCCATTTCTGAAACAGTATAACAAATTACTATTGTCATTCCTTTAAGCTTTTGAGCATTTATTTATTACAGGATCACACCTGGAAGGCAAGACAATGTCTTTGTTCAAAAATCCAGCACTTAGAAAGCAAGACAACTTCATAAATCTAAGGCATTTTCCTTTTCATTGTGTATCAGTCAAGGCCTGGTCCCTTGAGATTGACGTGTAATGCTAAAATTTTCAAGTAAACAAAATATTAACTTACTTTTCTAGAAACTCATCCCTCCTCATCAAGCCTTCCTTGTTCTAGGCGGATCTGCACAAGAGGGAGAAGGAGCTGAGTCTGGAGAAGGAGCAGAACAAGCGACTGTGGGACCGCGACACAGGCAACAGCATCACCATCGACCACCTGCGGCGGGAGCTGGACGACCGGAACATGGAGGTGCAGCGCCTAGAGGCCCTGCTCAAGGCCATGAAGAGCGAGTGCCAGGGCCAGATGGAGCGGCAGGTGGCGTGTGCGGCTTCTCCTGGGGACTATGCGTTTTGTGTCTACTGGTGGAAACTTCCTTTTTATTTTGAAATGGGGTCTCAGCCCAGGCTAGTCTCAAACTAATGAGCTCAAGGGCTCTTTCCGCCTTGGCATCCCTGGTAGCTGAGGCTGCTGGTGCACCATTGCCCCTGCCTCGGACTTTCTCGTGTTTGGGTTTTATTGTAAAATAGCTCAACAGTAGAGCTGTGGATCCTGTGAACAATGGTTTTTACTTCCCTATTTTTGACTGTTTGCTCAATGAAACACTTTAGGCGTTATGTCAACTGTACATTATTGAAAAACTAAATTCTCATTCAGATACTTCTTCATTTTCACATAAGAATTGGTAATTTACAAATTCCTTGTTTCTAGTGCAGAAAAGCAGCAAACTGTTGGGAAGTCCAAGGAGTACAGTGGTTGGAGGTTTACAACAGATATATTTTAGTTTGGGATTTCTTTCAAAAGTGGTGGTCCCTTATCCCTACCCTGCCCTACACCAACAGGCTGCTGGAGCACAGGGGCAAAATGTGGGCTGCTTTCTTCCCTGTCGTATCCTGCGGTGCTGGGAGAACACATTCTAATGCTGGTGACAGCCACAGAGACTTACAGACCACCCCACAATGGGAAAGCCAAGTGAAGGATCCAATCTTAGCTTAGACCCAGGCACAGCTGTGTTCCTATCCTCTGGCCTAACTTGGGCAGGAAGAAAGACACAGCAAGTATAAGCTAGAATCTTAGCCTTTTCCCAACCAGCACCAGAAGATGTAAATGTGGGCTGGGTAAAAGCCCTTGTTCCTTCTCCCTCACAGGTAGGATTAAGGAGGGAGACAAGGAAATAAAAAATAAGAGCAGATCTTGTCCCCTTCCTCCAAGCACCAGTGCTGTTGTTTTATCTGGAGTAATTCAGAGGTGACCTCAGAGGGAACCTCCCGTTTCCTGCCCTGGAAACCAGGGGAGAAGCATCATTATTTCATTACAGCCTCCCCGCTGCTGTGAGTGCACACTGGGTCTGAACAGGGTATCCCTTTAAGATGTGATGGCGCGTGACTCGCGTTAGTGTACCTTCACCTCATCCAGCCCAGGATTTCACGGCTCCCGTTAACTTGCTGAGCCCCTGGGGTCGCCTGTGCCTGTCCTCCCAAACCCAAGGCTCTCTGTCCTCTCCTGTCAGATGGCAGCAATCCAGGGAAAGAACGAGAGTCTGGAGAAAGTGTCCTCCCTGACTGCGCAGCTCGAGTCCACCAAGGAGATGCTGCGCAAAGTGGTGGAAGAGCTGACGGCCAAGAAGATGACGCTGGAGAGCTCAGAGAGGACGGTATCGGACCTGACGGCTTCCCTGCAGGAGAAAGAGCGGGCCATCGAGGCCACCAATGCAGAGATCGCCAAGCTCCGCTCCCGGGTGGACCTGAAGCTGCAGGAGCTGCAGCACCTGAAGACAGAGGGAGAGCACCTGCGGCATGCACAGACCGAGTGCGAGGCCCTGAGGCTGCAGATGGCGGAAAAGGACAAAGTGATCGAGATCCTGCGCCAGCAGATCGAAAACATGACACAGCTGGTGGGCCAGCATGGACGCACAGCCGGGGCCATGCAAGTAGAAAAGGCCCAGCTGGAGAAGGAGATCAATGACAGGAGGCTGGAACTGCAGGAGTTCAAGGTCTGTACAGTTCTGTGTTGGTTTAGCATCTGAAATTTCTTCCTTTTCATAAGCAAGTATGACCTTATGTAGTTAAAAGGAGTTTTGATTTCTGTGCATCCTCTGGAATGGGAAGTATTCATATCTATATAAAGGTGTGGTTTTTTGAGAAAGGATCCATGCTTTTATCAGATTCTAAAAGGAGAGGCCCACAATTCTACTGTTTAAGGTTTCCTTGATTATAGTTTTTAAGTAGGCAAATTTTCTATGAAAAAGACATATAATGGCTTCTCGGTGGCCAGCCCTACAATGCAAACTGTAGGGTAGGTCTGCATGCAGGGCAGAACATGTTAGGGAGGTGGGTGTTCATTCTGCCTTCTTACCAAGGAAGATGAGCTGCTAATGCTCTTAAGGCAACAAATGCAAGAATCCTGATTACACCCTAAAAATTAAATCAGTTTAATCATTACAAAAACCTTCTAAGGGGGCTGGGGATATAGCTCAGTGGCATAAGCGCCTGCCTGGCAAGCACAAGGTTGTGAGTTCGATCCCTAGTACTGCCAAAAAAAAAAAAAAAAAAAAAAACCTTCTGAGAGAGGCACTGTTATTATCCCACTTTACAGATGAGGAAACTGAACACAGCAATGTGAAGTAACTTGCCTGAGAGCAGCACTGCTTTGGGACTGCATCCAGGGCAGTATCTGTGGGCTTCTCAAAATCTACAAGGTGTGTTTAAAAAAAAACTATTATATTAAAAGACACCTTGCCATTAATTCCCTCAAAATACTGCACCTCGCTTTGAACACATATCCCATTGTTCTTGCCATTTCCTGAATTAGTTCTGGAAGTTCTCTTTCATGAGCTTTTTTTTAACAAGGTGTGATAAAAAATATAATGAATGCTGCTGCCAAGCTGCATCCAGTGGGAAGGTGCGTCCGCAGACGCCTTGTCCACTGCAGCTGGCGCTGTGTGAGTTCTGGCTCTTCTCCAAAGTCAACAAGACCATGAAGGGCAAAAGTTTCAAGTTGATGCAGGACATGGAGGCAGCCATAGCAGCACAACTGAAAGCGCTCATGAGAGAGGACTTCCAGGCTGCTTCGGACAGTGACAGGAGTTACGGGACACACGTGTGTGTGAAGAGAGGGAGATTACAGCAGTGTGTCTTTTACTGTAGTACATTGTTTCAAGTTTAAACACTCATCTTAATTTTTAGTTTTTGATCATATCGCATTAAGTAAATACTTAATGCCTGGTCCGCTTTTTTAAAGCGAGGTTTAATGCCTGGTGCGCTTCCCTCTACAGTCTGGTGGGAACCACAGCCCTGGAAGGTAAGGTCTCCCTTGTCCCTTTGTGCTAAGGGCTGTGCACACTCACAGTAGAGGAGCACAAGAGCCTGTAGTGACTGCCGTTCTCCAAACTGGCTCCTTTCTTGGACAAGGAAGGACTGAATGTCTATCAGGCGGTCCGAGAGTGGAATAGGAGCGGCATGTGCCCAGCATGTGTGGTGATGCCTCAGGGCACCCCAAGGAGAGCCTTCCCCACTCACCCCATGAGGCCAGCTGGGTTTCCTGTGACACCAGCAGCAGTCGGGCAGAGGTCAGATGGCCCTATTTAGGGCATTCACTGTGCAGGCCCGTCCCAGGTGGGCAATGAGATGACGCTGGAGTGCCCCACTCACCCTTCTGAAACGGCCGAAAGCTTGCCACATGTCTCCATTTCAGATACAGCACTGGCCTCTACATGTGTGCTACCATTAGAGCAATCAGACTGCGTCAGCTAGTACTGGATTAGATGTAAGCCAGGCTCCAACCTCCCAGAAGACCAGAGGCTCAGTATAAACCTGCGGTTTGCCCAGATAGCTCAGACACATGGAGCCTGTCTTTGCACTGGGGCCGGAGTGCAGTCCAAGTTCCCAGATGCCAGTCCAGGGCTGGCCCTGTGGGCAGACCTTTCTTCCTCAGCATCGGGTTGCTGTCTAAACACCACTCTGCATGATGCCCAGCGCACAGTGCATTCTCACTCCTCCTTTTTTATTCTTCTTATCTTTTCTCGTACCTGACATTAAATGTGTTTGCCGTCTGTCTCTTCTCACTGTACTTGTACAAAGACATTGTTTAGTCTGTTTACTGCTGTCTAGGCCCAGGACTAGGGAAAGGCCAGTGATGAGTCTACTGGCTGGAGGTTCTATTTACCTTACCCTGGTACTGGCCTTACTTCTTCATCTCTAGTAGTGAGTAGCACCTGCCACAAAGTAGGTGCTCAATGCATATTTTTGAATGAATGTAGAATAGAAATCACGAAGGGTTGTAACAAATGATACAGGGAATTGGCATCTAAATTTATAAGCAAGATGAAGCTGTGGTGGTGCACACCTCTAATCTCAGCACTTGGGAGGCTGAGGCAGGAGGAGCATGATGAGTTTGAAGCCAACCTGGGCTACAAAAGCAAGTTCAAGCCCAGCCTGCACTACATAGTGAGACCCTACCGCAAAAAAAAAAAAAGAAAGGAACAAAAAATGTGGAATACTTCTTTCCCTCCCACTTATTATCAATGTTTTGTAATGAAATTTGGTGTCCTGAGGAATAATGAAAAAATAGTAAATACAGATAGAGTACTAGGGGTGTCAATTGGAACTTGTGCATGTCCATATGTTTTACTTCTTTCTCTATCCCTGCCTTATGTTTAGATTTTAAAGGATAAGAAAGATGCTAAGATCCGGGAGCTCGAGGCCAGAGTGAGTGACCTGGAGTTGGAAAAGGTGAAGCTGGTGAACGCAGGCTCTGAGCGGCTCCGGGCTGTGAGGGACATCAAACAGGAGAGGGATCAGCTACTGAATGAGGTCAAGACCAGCAGGAGCGAGCTGAACAATCTCTCAGGTATGTCGCTTCAGCTCCAGTCCAGCCCTACTGCAGTACAGGAGTCCTGCCAGAGGAGCCAACATGGTTCTGAAAGAGGGGGGTCTCTGCTGGCATTGCAAATACAGATGGAGATACTGCCCCAGTCAGGAAATCTTGTACTGAGCTTCCAAGAAAAGAGTGAGATAACCAGGCGCCAGGAAGGTGGGTGTTCAGCACAATTCATATTATTTGCACAGTTTTGTTTTTATGGAAACAGAAACCTTGAGTCCTTTGCCTGGCAGTTTAATAATGAGGTGACAGGTGTAGAACTTATGTAAGTTTATTGAAGGGAAGAATCCAAGGCCTTACATTAAACAGTGGAACTACTAGCTTATGACTGTATGGTCTAGTATCACACCCTTCATGTACACACGCATGAACACAGTCAGTACCTACTCCGGACACTGATCAGTTCCAAAAAGACCTCAGTGCCACAGTCTAATGGCGAGTTCGACCCATGCAGAGAGAGGAGCCAGGGCTCCCGGTACAGTGGACATGTGGTACATGCAGAAATAGTGCTGACAGAGAAGACCAGCCTCCTGAAGCAGGTGCCATCTGGGTCAGGCTTGAAAGAAGGAAAGGGGTTTGGCAGCTGGACAAGGGGCAGGACGTTCCCAGCAGAGACATCAGGGGCAGAAGTGTGCAGGTGTGAAAAGTGAAATATGTTCCAGAAGCGTTAGTTGGAGTGAAAACACAAAGGACTGAAGCAGAACCAGAGGTATGGCACTAGCAAGGATGTTACGTTTTGTTGAAGACTCTTGCAGCAGGAAAATGAAGGAAGGAGACGCTAAAGAGACAGAGGCCCATCAGTGAGAGAACTTCATAGTAGTTGCAGGAAATATGGGGAAGACTTGAAGGAAGGCAGTGTCAATGAGGATAGAAAAAAAGTAAGAAAATTTTTAGATGTTGGACTGTTATGGTTTGTGTCTGTGTGTCCCCCCCAAAAGCATCATGCGGTCATGGGGTAGGCTTTTAGAGTTTGATTGATTATGGGTGTGAGAGCTACACCCACCTTGGGGTAGATAGTTTGCAAATGTAAGGGAGAGGAAGAGGCTGCTTGCGGCCATTCCTCCCTTTTGGTGCTTGTTGCTTTTGCTGTGTTCTGCCGCCATGAGCTGTAGCCCTCTGCCATGTGCTGCTCTGCCTTGTAACCTGTCAAGTATGGACTGAAACCTCCACAAACTGTAAGCAAAATATACCTTTCCTTCCTTAATTTTGGGCATCAGGTATTTTGTCCCAGCAATGGGAGAAAAGTAACCAAGACATGGACCAACCCAACTTAGTGATTGGACATAGTGATCGGAGGGTGAAATTCTAACTCTTGAGTTCATACTTTGTGGTACTGGGAGGACAGTGCTAGCAACAAATAAGGAGGAACCTAGGGAAGGGGCAGGCTTGAGGGCTAAAGTATGAGACATGTATGCACTGGGCACTCAGCTTTGCGTGGCCCTGGGACAACTATGTGGAGATGGCTGGGTAGGTAGAATTGGGTCTTTGTATATAAACCTACACTGCACTCACACAGATACATATAGATGAGTGAGTGCTCCTGTCCTACTATATTAAAAGGTGAATTTGAGCTAGGTATCTTGCTAAAATGCAGAAAAATGATAAGGCAGGACTAGAAATGTAGTTCAGTGGTAAAGCACTTACCCAGCATGTGCAAGGCCCTGAGTTCATTCCCCAGCATCTTAAAAAGAAGATACGTGACACTCAATTAAAAAAAAAATAAAAATAAGCCATCTGTGATGGCACATGCTTGTGATATCAGCGCTCGGGGAGGCTGAGGCAGAAGAAGCACAGTTTCAATTTCTACCTGGGCAACTTAGTGAGATCCTGTCTCAAAATTAACTTTTTAAAAAAGGACTGGAAGGCCCAGTGTGGTGGCACACACCTGTAATCCCAGCACTTGGGAGGCTGAGGCAGAAGGGTCCTTGCGAGTTTGAGGCCAGCCTTGGCTACAAAGTGAGCTCAAGGCCAGCCTGAACTGAATAGCAAGACCCTGTCTCAAAAAAAAGACAAAAAAAAAAAAAAAAAGGACTAGAGATATAGCTCAGAGATAGAGCACTCTTGAACTTGATCTCCAGTACCACCAAAAAAATGAAATGATAGATAGATAACATAAAAATAAATTTTAAAAAGGACCCGTGATAGTCTCAGATTATTTTAGTGTGATGGAGATTCATCTAACTGCAGATGGTGATGAAATCAGTTATGGTGGAGACATGCATCCAAGAAGAAGGTTTAAAGTGAAAGAGAACTGAGCTAATTACAATGGTTGGACAAGACAATAAATAATAAATGGGCAGAGGAAGATGATCCACTCAAGCAGATAAGAAGTCAGTTCTGCAGATCCCTGGAAATGTTTATATCAATCTCATTTACGTTACAAATGGAGTCGTAGCTAAATGAGTTCTCTTCCAGCCTCTAACATTCTGACTATTATTTACAAATAAAATACATTTCATATCAGTGGGATTAAAAAAGTAACCATCAACTGTTGATTATTGTTTTGCATAGAGGATTATGAAGTTTTAAAAAGGAATTTTCGAAACAAGAGTGAAGAAATGGAAACTACTACAAATAAACTAAAACTGCAGTTAAAATCTGCACAGTCTGAACTAGAGCAAACAAGGAATACCCTGAAGTCAATGGAAGGATCCGACGGTCATGGTATGCTGTTTCCTTTTTCTTGTGTTTTTAATTCCATTGACCTCGATTTATTAAAATACAGAGCCTGCCACCTTCTAACTGTGCCAGGTGATGTGAGCAATGCACCGCCATAGACACTGGTGGGGGTTATCAGGTAGCAGTGATTCCACTTGGTTTTTAAGGAAAATGCTTAATTTAATCCCTAATATATCTAAAATCCCTGAAGTATCTGAATCTTTCTTTTCTCCGGTGGCTGTTTCAATAATTTTAACAAATTTCAATATGTGTAAAAGTCAACCAATTTTTCTTTTTAAGAGTAGGAAGAATTCATTGACAGAAAGAAATCTTCTAAGAGGGGCAGAAGGGGGCCCGGAAAGTGGGTTGCCCCCAACCAATTATTTTTAAGGTGTAAATACAAGTCACTGACAATATCTACCCACCCTCCTATTTCCCCATGTGCATAACTACATCAGCTATAGATTCATGGCTAACTGGAAGTTCCTAGTTTCTCTTCTGTGATAAAAAGGAAGGTGCCCTTGGTAATGGAGCTCCGGGGTGAGGTGCACCTTGTCATCACCTGGGTGTGTTCTCCTCTCTCTCTTGCTGCCCACGCTGACCCAGAGAAGCGTTATCTTTATGGGTATGATCTCACTGCCGCAGAGAAATGCGGTGTTCTGTCCTTCGCTGTCCCTGTCACTGTCGCTGTGGCTGTGTTAGTGTGTCACCAGGCGCAGTCTGAGGGTTCCCTAACCCTAACCCAGCCCGCCGCACCAGGCTCCCTGACTTCCTTCACAAAAACCAAATTTTCAACGTGTGTCAGAAAGAGGCACGAACAATGTTTGCTAGGGAAAGACAGAAACTGTAGGACCCTCTCGAGGCTGGCAGGCCTGCAAAGAATTGAGACGCATTAGTTTGGGACCGGACTCATTTATACTTTGCTCCAGGGAGTGAAAAGCTGGGGAAAGTGCCCGCCCATCCCCCTCCCTCTAAAAGGTCCCATTTGCAGGCACAGTTTTTTTTTTTGCTAAGTGATTTAAACATTTTCTGGCTTTGCTCAACCTGTTATTTAATTTCTTAATGGGACCAATTTGTTGGTTTCTAGTAAAGGGTCCAGTGCAGAAGGTGTGTAAACCTGCCTCAGGTCTGTTGGCGGATGGCGCTGTCCTTATCTCAGGGCCCGGCTCCTAGTCCTTACTTCCTTCACTGAGCCCATTTATGGCCTTTTAGTGGTGGGTCTGGTAGGAAATGGTGTAAATCTAGCCAAGGAATGTTGACAGGGGCTGTCTTGGGTTACTTCGGCTAAGTCCTAGAAGCGGCTGTTTTCTTAAAAGTACAATTTTCATTGTGATTTCCTTATCTTCTTTCTACCTATCTTATTTCTTCTATCCTTCCTCAGGCTGACTATAAGAATATTTACCAAATGAAAGTATACATTTTTCTGAGCTGTAGTTCAGTGGTTGAGCACTTGCCTAGAATTCACAAAGCCCCAGGTTCAATCCCCAGCACTCAAAAAAAAGGGGGGGAAAGGACTAAAGTATACATTTTAAAAAATTTATCAGTATGTTTTAGAGTTGAAAGACTCACATATGTTTTGGTAGAATATATGCTAAAATGGAATGATACACTGTAGTTCCAGTGCAAGAGTGACATGCACATTCCAAACTGCTCATATTTTATGTGGTTCATGGCGGTTTGGCTTTGCTAGTTAACACTGACAAAATGGTGGTGTTTGGAGAGATTACCTAAAAGGTCCATTCTAGTTCTGGTTCTGTACCCTCCTCTCCAGGGAACATCCCTGTCTCAATACCCTCAGTCATCTCCATGGCCACTGAGTCCCTGCCACAACTGTCAAGTTACCTGTAATCCTTGTATTTGCATTCAAACCCTTGTTTTCAGCAATTAAACTGTTTAAATAGGCCCTAATCCCAGCGCTCTGGGAAGTTCCCCAGGAGGATTAAAAGTTCAAGCTCAGGCAATTTAGTGACTTAGAGACACCCTGGATCAAAATAAAAAAATTAAAAGGCCTGGTGTTGTAGCTCAGTGTGATGGTCCTGGGTTCAATCCCTAGTACTGCCCCCTGCCAAATCAGTTTAAACTAAAAAAGATTTGTTTGAGATAATTAAGGCCAACCATGATCCATGTACTCAAACCAGAATTCTTCCAAGTAGTGAACAAATGTTGGACTTTGGATTTATATAAATAAATCAATGTATTGTGCCTGTATTAATCCTGTTTTTTAAAAAAACAGATTCAATATAAGAACGATGCTTTGCTAATGAGAAAATAGACCTTTCATTCTCTCTAATAGTTTTTGTTTGTTCAATTTTTTTCTTTTTTTTTTTGATACAGGGTCTCACTATGTGGTTCAGGATGGCTTTGAACTCACTATAGTGGTTCAAGAAATTAATTCCAGTAGCAAAAAAGCCACAAGGCATAAATTTTGCCAGCTCAGAATCTCTGAGTATTTGCTGAAAATTGTTATGTTCCAATATTGTAAATCCAGAAGACTTTTGTCCCTTGAAAATGCCCAAGTGCTCTGAAGAATCTTACTTGTCACCTTCCTATAAATTACAGTAGCAAAGTACAGGACAAACCTCAGTGGCCTCTTGCACTTTATAAATTTTAAAAACTAAAGCACAGCCAGGCGTAGTGGTGCATGCTTATAATCCTAGCACTTGGGAGACTGAGGCGGGAGGATCACTGTGAGTTCGAGTCCAGCCTGGGTGACATAGTGAGCTGAAGGTCAGCCTGGGCTACACAGTGAGACTCTGTCTCAAACAAATAATAATAAAGCACAATGTTCTTTTTTTCTCCCCCCATCCTCAGCTATGAAAGTGGCAATGGGTATGCAAAAGCAAATCACAGCCAAAAGAGGTCAGATAGATGCACTTCAGAGCAAGATCCAGTTTTTGGAAGAAGCCATGACAAATGCAAATAAGGTAGGCCCCCGTCCCACAGTGGAGGACACCAGCATGTCCACTCACTAATATATGGCAAGACAGGATAGGACACAGCAGAGATGCAGAGCATAGGAGGGGAAAGGAAAGCTTATTTAGGACTGAGAGAACAGGGCAGGGTTCCTGAAGGAGGACTGGAGCAGAACAGCGAGAGTTTTAACTACAGGAAATGGTCAAAGGACATGGCTGACGGAGGAGGTGGGGATGATTATAAACGACATACTTCCAGACCTCCATTTCTGTTACGCTGTGCCCTGTGTGTTCATACAATCCACTGTGATAATCACAGAATTTATGGAAACACGGGGACTAGCAACACCACACTAACACATCTGGGACAGAGCAAAACAGGAACCTCGCCAAAGGGGTAGCACAGCTTTGTACATGTTAAATAATTCAGAAATAGAATAAATGCAGCCCTTTTTGAAAAGTCAGAAGTGTGCTGTGGAAATCCGTGAAGGAGTGTACCTTGTATGTTAGCTACTATGGAGGGTGGAAGGACTGTTTTCTAGAACACTAGATGTGATGGATATGGCTCATAACTTGAGGTAACTGAGGCACATGGCAGGTAAGTGTGTGAAGCATGTGCATGTGTGTAGGTTTTTCACGTATTCTCAGGTAGGTCTGTGTACTTACGTGCACTTTCTGCATTGACTTTGTGCTCTCACAAAGAAAACTGGTTTTCCAGTTGATCATAAAGCAACACGAAATTTGTGCTGTGCTCAAATGTTCTTGATGTCAATCACTTTGGAGCAAATTTGCATTTTCAAAAGATTTATTAAAGAACTGACCATAACGAAGGTGAGCAGAAAATAGCAAGTGCGACTAAAGTGACCATTCCCACGGTGAGCCGCCAGAATATAGCTGGACAGTAACAAATACTGTACACACATACATTTGTGCAATCAGCGTCTGAACCTGCTTTTTTCCTCCTTCTTTCTTGTTTCCTTTTTTTCCTCCTCTTTCTCTTCTCCTGAACTTACTCTTTCTTTTGTCCTCTCACTACTGCTTTTGGGAAACTAAAGCAGTGCTTATCCTCCCCACTGGTACTTATGGCTGGAAGAGATGACTGCCTGTTTCCAGCCAAGATGTCTGACTCTTCCCCCAAAAGGAAAGTACTAGGCATAGCTCATGACATTCTCTCAAACAAAAGGCAGGAAGCCTCTAAAATTAGCCTGCCTTTCTTTCCAAAGCATATTCTGATCACCCTAATCAGAGGAGAAAAAATTGTTTGTTAGAGATGTGTATGCAGCGGCAACACCTACCTACCTTAATTATTTTGAACACTCTTCACTGTGAAAAAAATATGGTGGTTCAAAGAAATACAGACTCAAAAATTGACTCTATATTTTACCTTTTTCTGCTCCATAGTGCTTTTTCACAAAAACAAATTTTAAAAATTTTGTTTAATGCTTAAGACTGTTTCACTAGGAAGCTCATTTTTATCACTGTCCTGCTAAGTGACTTGAAGGCAGGAACTCTGTCTTATTTGTTTTTATGTCACAGAATCTATAATGTATATTTTTAAAATGAATAATCTTGGAAATAAAATAGAAACCCACAAGGGGTAACAGTAGGAAGGAAAGAAGTTAAATTATCACTATTTATAGACAACATGATATCTACATTGAAGACCCCAAAAGCTCCACCAGAAGACTTCTAGATTTAATAAGTAAATTCAATAGCATAGCTAGATACAAAGTCAACACTCAAAACTCAATAGCATTCCTGTACATGAATAACAAACTCACTGCGGGAGAGATTAGGGAAACCACACATTTCACAATAGCATCCAAAAAAATGACATACCCAGGAGTCAATCTAATGAAGCTCAGTAAAAGACCTCTACATTGAAAACTACAAAAATTTCAAATATATTAATCATTTTTAAATATCTTATTTAAAATAAATTTCAGTAAAATTTGGTACACGATTACTCAGTTGCAATACCAATTTTGTACATGATTACTCAATACTAAAATATTGTCTCTTTTGTTTGACACAGTTATTTTATATTTTGTAAATTTCATTAAACACTTAACCTAAAAGCAATTAACTGGCCATAGTGGTGCATGCCTGTAGGCCCAGCACTCTGGGAGGCTGAGGCAGGAGAATCACAAGTGAGAGCCCAGCCTGGGCAAGTTAGGGACTTAGCAAGACCCTGTCTCAAAGTAACAAAACAAAACAAAAGACTGAAGATGCAGCTTAGTTGGAAGGTCCTGCATTCAATCTTCAGTACAAAACAACAAAACAAAACAAAAAAAAAAACTAATGATAATACAAGTAGTGATGAAATAGAGAATGTATAAACACATTTTTGGCAATTCCCAACTTCTTCTCAGAGTAAACGGCATATGAGTTAAATGTTTCCAGTATAGGATCCTTTGATAAAAGTTTGATTTTTCATGCCTCTCAGTGTCTACATCAGCAAATTATTTCTGATTTTTTCTCTTCTGTAACTGCAGGAGAAACATTTTTTGAAAGAAGAGAAGAACAAGCTCAGCCAGGAGCTGAGCACCGTTGCCACGGAGAAGAACAAGATGGCGGGCGAGCTGGACGTCCTACGCTCTCAGGAGCGCCGCCTGAAGGAGAAGGTTGCCAACATGGAGGTCGCTCTTGACAAGGTAGTTGTGAGCCACCTAAGTCAGGGAATCATCATCTGAATAGTCACTAACTGGACAGAGCCTGTCCTCGTCGCCTGTCCTCGTCACCGTCCTGTCACAGGACAGAACGCCCAGCACCACAGTGAGGGAGGAGACGCTCATGGTGCACACCGCGCCTAGGGCAGCAGAGCGCTCGCCTCCCAGCAGCCGGAAGTAGAGAGAAAAGGGGGGGAGCGCACCTTCCAGGCCCCGCCCCCATGATCCCCTCCGCCCAGGCCCCGCCCCTAAGTTTGAGACTGGGTGGGCTTTTAAATCTCAGCTCGAAGAAATGTTTGAATGACAGTTCTGTGTAGGTGGGGCTGAGCCTGTCGTGTACATGTTCCAGTTACCCAGCACAAGGAAAGCTCTGTCATCTAGAGGAGGCTCTCCTGGCTTTGAAGTATCATACTGCACAGTTTGCCAGGTTACCTTTTTTAGGCTAGCACAGCCAGCGGGGGCCCAAGCAAGTAAAAATACTCGGTGAGCACCAACTTACCGCTAAAGAACGGCCTGGGCAGTAGGTCTCCTTCTAGTGTCAGTAAAATGGTGAGGTTGTGGGAGAGATCGGTGACACTATGTTTACTATTACAATTAGCAAAGGGTAAATCTGTCCTTCTGTTACGCAGAAATTGTGGAAGCCTAAAGTTGTACCTAAATCAATCCTTGATTCTCAAGAAATCAGAGCCTTTGAGTTAGCTAAAACAACCTGTCCCAGCTTTGTTTCTTAAAACATGCTTATACTGACTCAAGGAATTTCAGTTATGGTTATGTTTGTATGAATTTTTATACTTTGCTAATTTTCTAAAGCTGTTTGCTCATTCCACCCTTAGGCCAGGCATGCTTTTGACTACCCCCCATGTACTAAATGCTGTGTAGACACCGGGGATGTGAAGGATAAAGATCCAGTAACAGATCATTAGAATGCAGTGTACCAGGACTGGGCAGCTGGCTTCCCGGCAGATGGCAGCTCTGCAATTATAGGTCTATATCACAGAAACACATGAAGGGAAGATAAGAAATAACTAAAAATCGATTTTAAAAAAGAATAGAGGACAAACCACTTGTGATTGCTTGATTGTAGGCATCTTTGCAGTTTGCAGAATGTCAAGATATAATACAGCGTCAGGAGCAGGAAACTGTACGCCTAAAACTTCAGCACACTTTGGATGTAAAAGTAAGGTTTCTCCCATCATAAATAGTACCTTAAGCAGGAATAATGCTTTTGCCTGATATGCTTTTACATTTTCTTTATATACTTTACATATATTTACATGTACTTTCAATGTAATCTGATATTAGCAATTATAAAATCTGTACAAACATTGTTACACATTCTAGCAGTCTTTCTCACATGTGATAACAAATTAAAGCACCACACTTTATTCTCAGTTGATAATAAGTAAATTAAACAAACAAGTTTCACAAGTACCTACCCAGGGGTCACCTCATGCAAGTGTTTTCAACACATAGGTGTTGCAAGTGCAAAGACCCAGAGAGATAGGAGTTTGGTTTGTTTGGGAAGCAACAAAACTGATGTAATCTATAAAGGGATGTATTTTTTAAAAACAGTACATTGCACTGAAATACGTATCTGTTTTCAAAACTTTATAGTTACAAACATTTTTTTTTTTTGAGTCAGGGTCTCACTGTGTAGTTCAAAGTTGGCCTTAAACTTGCTTATGTGGCTAGGCTGGCCTCGAACTCACAGCGACCCTCCTGCCTCAGCTTCCCAAGTGCTGGAATTACAGGCATGTGCCACCACGCCAGGACACAAACAAGCTTTAAATTCTTGGTAATGCATTTTGTTTGCGAAATTAAAAATGCATTTTGATTTCACAATTCTTTGCAGCTGTAGGTTGGTGTCATCTCGCTCATACTTACATTGTTTTCTAGGAGCTTCAGGGCCCTGGATATACCTCGAATTCTTCAATGAAGCCACGCCTGCTCCAGCCAGCTTCTATTACCCGCACCCAGTCTAATGTGCCGTCCTCCCAGTCCACAATGAGCTTCCTCTCACATGTGAGTAGCTGGTCTTGTATTTCGTGATGTCAGGGACTGATATGTGAGCAATTTTAAATTGGGGGAAATTTCTTTAAAATATATTTATAACTAGCATTTTTGGTTACAAGATTTTAGATTTATACATTTTCCTAAAAATCCAGTGGCATACAGATGAATTAGAATATTTTCTTAACTATTTGTCTGCGAAACTATTTGGTGTTTTCTTAAGGAAAACAAAATTAAAATATCCAGGGGTTTTAACAGTAATTATCATAATATTAAATAGTATTCATCTCTTCGGTTATTTCCATCATAAGCAATTTCAGTTTACAAAGCAAACACTGAAATGGCTAAAATAGCCATCACTTCAAATGCCAAGGACAAGGTAGTACTATATTTAATATTCTACCAAGCTGAAAATTATTTGATGTATATAATTTCCTTGTGTACTTATTTATAATAAATATTCTGTTAATCATAAAACATTTTATTTGTTTCAGTTAAAATATTAATAACTGGAATATTTTTTAGTTTAACCTTTTATACCTTTACAACTCAAGAAAAAATATGCACAATGTAAACTTAAGGCTTTATCTCCTTTGAAGATATATAATTTCCTTATATGCAATATTTAGCTCTCTTAAAAAATGAGACTCCATACATCACACATGAAAATCAGTTTCACTAATTAAGTCGTATCTTTTTTTTAACTTTTTAAAAATTTTAATAGTACATGTTTGCAGCACATGCAGTTTACAGCCATCTTGGGGAGTGGGTACATGTATGTAATACAGCTTGTTTCCTTTTTTTAATCCCCTCCCTTCCCTCTCCCCTCCCTCCTCCTCTAATTCTCTGTCCCATTTTCATTCTTTTTTTTTTTTTT